AAAATTGTTTTTTTTTAATTTACTCATCTACATACAGTTTTTTTCTTTACATTCCTTGGCATGAAAATAGTGAAATTTAATGGCTCTTAAAAATCCTCCCTTTTAAATGTTAAACAACAAAATCTGTAAATGGAAAAACAAAAGAGCGGCTGCAGGTTGAGCCGGTGATCATGTTTCTGCAGCAGGTGGCTAAAGCTTGGTTTAAACTGTGTGCAAACTGGATGTTTTTGTCCGTTTTTGATTCCTAATTTTACATTCTTAGGTATGAAGGAGCTCTGTGGTTCATCACCAGTTGTAGTCATTTTATAAACGCTGCAGAAATCTCCATCTTATCGACTCATTGTGAGTCTCATTTTCTCAAAACATCTAAATCTGCTAAAGTATTCCAACCCGCTTCAGAAAGGTGTCAGGAATAAAGTTAGGGTTAGAGATCCTGGACAGAAAGAGTCAGCAGTTACTAACGTTTAACTGAAACCACACATCTCTTCACTAACCTTAACTAGAAGTGTTTCTGTTGTGTGTGACCACGTGCAGGACTCGGGATGTGAACCCCGCCCTCTGGTGCTCAGGAACGCCTTCCTCTGATACACATATTCATCTCAGTGTAACTGGGATTTGATGCTTTAAGAATTCCTGCAAAGAAAACAAGAATATTTGACAAACTGAGGTTCAAGATTTAAAACAGGAGCAAGATGAATTACATGGCTCAGTAAAAGATGACATGTGCAGGATCTGGGTTGTTTTAAGGTTGGAAGAAAAATAAAACTTCACATTTGATCAACATCCTCTCATCAACCTGAGCAATATCGAGCCGTTTGATTTGCGCATGAGACCAATACAAGCTTGATGATCTTTTCTTAACTAATCTGATCTGTGTACAAACAGATTTATACTGGATATATGTGTGTGCGTGCAGCCTGGGAAGGACTGCATGTGTGAATATATAACTGTATAAACTGGATGATATGTTACGATATTATATACTAATATTAATAATATAAAATATTATGCTTCCAGCCCAGAATGCCTCTGTCTCTATCTCACTGTTGCTCCTAACCACTTCCTGTGCTATAGCCCTACTGAGCATGCTCCAGCCTGTGCCGGCTCCGCCCCCGCTGCCCCGCCTGCTAGCGCCGCTTCGCGGCCTCTGGACCCCGCAGTTGCTTCATCTAGCCCCGCCCCTTACAGGTAACCAATCAGCTGTGGACTTTTTGTTCTGTTCCAACCCGTTCTCATCCCAGGGCGGCACATTTGGACGCTTTGTGCAACTTTTTAAGTCGTGGTCAAGTTAACAGACTTTCAAAATAAGACTAGCAGTTAAACTACTTGTTTAGGTTTGGGTTAAAATAACAACTTGCGTGAGTAAAATTACGTAAGTTAAGTAACGTAACTAGCAGATTTTGTTTTAACACAGGAAACAAACACCGTCTGCTGGTTGAAAGTCCGGTTTTTGTTCCACACTATCCACCTCCTTACTCAGACTTTACTGTTATTTATAAAGACCTACTTTTAGAGTTTAACCATGACGTGAAAGGCTGTCACGTGCAAGGACGTGACAAGGTGAAGGTATCTGACGCTCTGGGAATGAGAACGTGCTGGCTGTTCATTTGAGCTGGAGCCTCATTTAAAGTAATTTAAAAACACACATACATGTTTCTGAGGATTTGAAGTGACTGGGTGTGTTTGCTAGCTCAGCAGCAGGTATTGGCCCTCGTGGCTCTCCGTAGATTTGACTGACTGTTGTGTGTGTTTGGATCAGAGGTTTCTGCTGCAGGAGGAGTTTGTGGTCAGACGTGTTGAGTTCACGTGCTGCTGGCAGAGTCCGTCATCTGAGACTCACAGGATGTTTGTTGACTCTTTGTAGGCGCTGATGGTGCACTGAGTGAGATTATTGTTATATTTTAGGGCTTTGTGGCCGTTGTATCTGATGTACGATGAGCCGCTTCCACTTTTAGTAAACACAGTGCAACATGGTCGTGTTGTGTTTTCGTCACCTGATGAATCCAGTGTTTTCTCTCTGTAACAAAAACATGAGAAGCATCACCAGCAGCAGATGTAAAGGCCAATTTATACTTCTGCATTGAGCCTACGCTGTAGCCCTGGAAATTTAACTATACATCGCACCAACTCAGACCACAACAACTGTGATTGATTGATTGGCTTGGAAGCGTCGCATTTCATCCTACGCATCTCTGGCTCGTCCTTCTTCTGGCTCCACCGGTTCAAAGGTCGTACATGCCGTCTCCTCCGACGCCTTCTCTCGCGTCTGCGTTTTAGTAATTTCACTAAAAGTAACTGCTGTTCAACATCGATCAGCTCCAACATGATCCGCTCGCTGTTTGAAGCAGCCTACATCAATGAAGAAGAAGAAACTCAACACAGAGGAACATAGAAACCCCCACGCCAACTAGTGTTTTGGCGGATAACCGCAGGGCGACGCAGACACCAACTCACAAGTATAAATGTTCACGTCAGCACGTAGCCTACGGCGTCTGCTACGACTTGACGCAGAAGTATAAACTGGCCTTAACTCAGGATGCGGATCGTCATGGTGACCTCGGCTGTTGTTGTCTCTACACCTGCAGCTTGAAGCGACAGTCTGGTTACAGCCTCCAGCACAAAGCTGCAGTCTCCAGGTACCGACACCCGCAGGGTGTCATCACGCTGCCGCCATTTAGTCCGCTTCACGCTGCCTCCTTTTTCTACGCTACATAACACGCCATCTGCCATTAACAGAGGCTTCTTCTTGTAAAACTCCTCGCAGCACCATGGTTGGATTTAAGGCCTCAGTATGCTTCAAATGAACCTGTGTGTTTGAGGTGTCATACATCCTTTTTTTAATTTATGTAAGTTAAGTTCATAAAGGTTCCTCATCGCACCTTTCATAGAGCAGGTCTAGAGCGTACTCTTGGTGTTATTTTTTACAGAGACCCAAAAGGTAACGCCAAGAGCAATCACTTGGTGACACAGGGAAGGGAAACCTCCCTTTTAGAAGGTAGAAACCTTAAACAGAACCATGGAAACTTTGTTATGTTCATCTTGATTTTGCTGACCTCCAGTGTTTAAGCTTACACAAGGCACTGCTGGGAGTTGAACCCAGGATCTCCTGTTTACGAGACAGGCACTTTGACCACTAAGCTACAGCGCCTCTGTATCTATCTAATTAAGTACGGTACAAATTTGAGATAGTTTTACTTAAGTATTACCATTTTATGTTACAGGATGTAAAGTGGTTAAACACACGCAGCAGTAAAATGCAACATACACATTAATGCAGAAGGAATATTCAGATATAATAAAGAAACACTGACAGGAACGTTTTACTGCACTGTGACTACTTTCATATTGTAAGTGCATTTAGCTGATAATAGTTACATACTTTTACTTAAGTAAGGCTTAAATACAATTATTTACAGAAGAAAGAAGTAAGGATCTAAATAATTCTTCCGCCACACGTTCAGACCGTCTCTCCTGGAAGACGTTCGTTGTATCGCACTCAGTTGATTGCATGAAAATAATAGAGGAAGTTGTGTGAAGAATGAGAAGTGACGAAAAATTGTCCGACCTGATTCCGCAGTCAAAAACAAGGTTAGACGATCCAACAAGTACTTTGTTTGAAGCATACTGAGGTCTTTATGTGACAGTGGGTGACCTGATGGAAATTGAACCAGTAACCCTGGCAGTGTTGGTGCAATGCTCACTTCAGTACCATGTAACTGTTGAGTGAAAAGACATAATAACTTCATCCATTCACGGGCTGAATCTCCTCCAACTGGCTATGAAGGAGTCCAGCTGTACACGTCATCTGTCATGATACTGACACTCATTTCTTACTGGCTGGTTATCAGGCTGGTTTGCACTGGTCTGCTTTCTGTATTAAAACCTTCACTAACGTTTAAGTATCCTGTGTATGTACTTATAACAAGGTAAGAGACACACACTCTGTTGACATCTAGGTTACATTTTAATGCCAATATATTTCAGCAATACGACATGAAGTACTAATGCAACTTGGTCTTTGTATTGAGTTAAAAGTTAAATGGAGCACATGGAAACTTTGTGGTCATTTTGTCTCTCTTTGAGGTTGTTTTGTGTCTTTTGTAGTCATTGTGTCTCTTTGTGTTCGCTTTGTGTCTCTTTGTAGTCATTCTGTGTCTCTTTGTGGTCGTTCTGTGTCTTTTTGTAGTCATTATGTGTCTCTTTGTGGTCGTTTTGTGTCTTTTGTAGTCATTATGTGTCTCTTTGTGGTCGTTTTGTGTCTTTTTGTAGTCATTATGTGTCTCTTTGTGGTCGTTTTGTGTCTTTTTGTTGTCATTATTGTCTTTTTGTAGTCATTATGTGTCTCTTTGTGGTCGTTTTGTGTCTTTTGTAGTCATTATGTGTCTCTTTGTGGTCGTTTTGTGTCTTTTTGTAGTCATTATGTGTCTCTTTGTGGTCGTTTTGTGTCTTTTTGTTGTCATTATGTGTCTTTTTGTTGTCATTATTTGTCTCTTTGTGATCGTTTGTGTCTTTTTGTAGTCATTATGTGTCTCTTTGTGGTCGTTTTGTGTCTTTTGTAGTCATTCGGTGTCTCTTGCAGTCATTCTGTGTCTCTTTGTAGTCATGTGTCTCTTTGTGGTCGTTTTGTGTCTCTTTGTGGTCATTCTGTGTCTCATTGTGGTTGTTTTGTGTCTTTGTGCTCATTTTGTGTCTTCATGGTCGTTCTATGTCTCTTTGTAGTCATTCTGTGTCTCTTTGTGTCGTTTTGTGTCTTTTTGTTGTCATTATGTGTCTCTTTGTGGTCGTTTTGTGTCTTTTTGTAGTCATTATGTGTCTCTTTGTGGTCGTTCTGTGTCTTTTTGTTGTCATTATGTGTCTCTTTGTGGTCATTTTGTCTCTTTGCAGTCATTCGGTGTCTCTTTGCAGTCATTATGTGTCTATTTGCAGTCATTATGTGTCTTTTTGTAGTCATTCTGTGTCTCATTGTGGTTGTTTTGTGTCTTTGTGCTCATTTTGTGTCTTCATGGTCGTTCTATGTCTCTTTGTGGTTGTTTTGTGTTTCTTTGTAGTCGCTCTGTGTCTTTATGGTCATTCTGTGTCTCTTTGTAGTCATTCTGTGACTCTTTATGGTCATTTTGTCTCTTTGTAGTCATTCTGTGTCTCTTTGTGGTTGTTTGGTGTCTCTTTGCAGTCATTTGTTGTCTCTTTGTAGTCATTTTGTGTCTTTTTGTTGTCATTATTTGTCTCTTTGTGGTCGTTTTGTGTCTTTTTGTAGTCATTCTGTGTCTCTTTGTGGTTGTTTGGTGTCTCTTTGCAGTCATTCTGTGTCTGTGGTTGTTTTGTGTCTCTTTGCAGTCATTTGTTGTCTCTTTGTAGTCATTATGTGTCTGTGGTTGTTTTGTGTCTCTTTTATAGTCATTTCGTGTCTCTTTGTGGTTGTTATGTTTCTTTGTGGTCATTTTCTGCCTTTATGGTCGTTTTGTCTCTTTGTAGTCATTCTGTGTCTCTTTGTGGTTGTTTGGTGTCTCTTTGCAGTCATTTGTTGTCTCTTTGTAGTCATTCTGTGTCTGTGGTTGTTTTGTGTCTCTTTTATAGTCATTTCGTGTCTCTTTGTAGTCATTCTGTGTCTGTGGTTGTTTTGTGTCTCTTTTATATTCTTTTCGTGTCTCTTTGTAGTCATTATGTGTCTGTGGTTGTTTTGTGTCTCTTTTATATTCTGTCCGTGTCTCTTTGTGGTTGTTTTGTTTTTTTGTGGTCATTTTCTGCCTTTATGGTCGTTTTGTGTCCCTTTGTTGTCATTCTGTGTCTCTTTGTGGTTGTTGTGCGTCTCTTTGCAGTCATTTGTTGTCTCTTTGTAGTCATTCTGTGTCTCTTTGTGGTCGTTTGATTTATATTCCAAGTCAGATAGAGGCTCCATACTCAGTAATTGCAAAAACCAAGTTCCATAAAAGTTTCACATATAAAACAACAGCCAAAGTAGATTTCCAGTCAGGTTGACAGCAGCGCAGAGAAAGGCTGTGAGTGGTACAGGTGTACAGGTGTACAGGTGTACAGGCTTGGAAGAAGTGATGAATCAGTGTTTTTTTTATCCCTCTCCAGCCCGTACGCTCAGCCTCCTGCCATGTATCAGGCACCACAAGCCCCACCTCCACAGCAGTACCAGCCAATACCGCAGCAGTACCAGCCAATACCGCAGCAGTACCAGCCAATACCGCAGCAGTACCAGCCAATCCCACAGCAGTACCAGCAGCCCCCTTCGCAACAGGTCCCGCCCACTCAGCAGAGCTCCATTCAGATCCCTCTTGGCTCCGCCCCTCCCAAGGTGGTCAGCACAGCCTGCATCTACCCCCCAGCCAGGTGAGAACACCTGCGCACTGATTCACAGAATACAAGCACATTCAGATTGACTGTAAAGATCCAGATCCATGTTTTCTCCTCTCCAGCCTCAGCTCCTGCTCCTGCTCCAGTCCCATCTCAGCCCCGCCCTCCAGCCGCTGCCCCGGCCCCAGCCCCGGCTCCAGCTGGTCCTGCCTCCTCTAACAGACCCCCCTGGGTGTCCGACACCAACTTCGCAGATAAGTTTGACCCCAGTAAGACCACCACCACCACCACCGTGAAGATTCAGCCGCTGCCCCAGGCCGCCCCTCCTCCACCGGCATACATCCCCAACCCCTCCTCATCCGCACCTGCAGCTCCCAGCCCTGCCCCCTTACATCAAGCCCCGCCCCCTTCCCGTCTGTGGCGAGGGGCGTGGCACAAAGGGCGGAGAGATTTGCCGCCAGCAGCCGTACGCCTCTGTGTGGGTCCTGCAACAGCATCATCAGGTAATTCACACCTGCTTTTTTCTGTGTATGATAATTTCGACTTTATTCTTGACATTTCCGCTTATTTCGACTTTTAATAGGGAATAAAGAATAAATAAATAAATGGATTGTGTCATAACAAAATATTTACATGAGATTATCTGCTGAATTTAAGGACTTTCTAAGAGAAGTTCAGGGTCGCTTTTAAGATATTTGGCCAATTAAAAAAAAAAAAAATTATTTAATCCCCCAATTATATCACAATCCATTCATTTATTAATTATTAACTCCAATTGACCCTTTGCTAAGCCACGCCCCCCTTAGTTACTGTTGCTAAGTCTGACAAACTGTCGGACCTGTTGAACTTTTAGCACGGCGCTGCCACTGTCTGTTACTGCACTCCCTGGAGAAATATTGTCTCATTTTTGGACAAAGCGATCCCAGAAAGAAGCAGACAGTTTTGCAGTTGCATTGTGCATTTGAAGGTTTTATTCAGGCTCAAACTGACGTGAAAAAAATAAAAGACAGAAGCTTTTCGGTTTTGGAAAGAGAATAAATCTGACTTCTCCTTTCAGCCTCTCTGGGTAGCGACTGTAACAATTACAAGACGCCCCAGGAACAGCGTTTGACCATATCTTAGATAAATACAGCCAGAAAAAGATAGAAAACGACTCTTTTTGCATCAGAGTCAATGGAGCGCCGCCATGAAAGTGTCAGACCTCAGTTAAAACGAGACCTGTACTGCTCTGTGATTGGCCAGCCCAGTATATTCGGGGCGTGGCTTAGCGAAGGGTCAGTTGGTAGGTGAAACCCTGAATTTGCATAATTCAAATATTAAAGTCCTTTTATTAATCACGATTTTTTGACCTTTAATTATTATAGGCTTAAAAGGTGAAAATCCCTATTACAGTGAAAATGTGTCATATTTTTATGAACTGTATGTAATATAAATGCAAACCTGCTGAATAGAAGTGATCTTTATCACCATGGTGCAGAACAGCATCACAAGCATGCAGGTGGAATCAAATTGACCTGTTAAAAATCATGTCACCTGAAGCAGACTGAAGATGAACACCTGTTGCTGTTTTCAGGGGCCCCTTCCTGGTGGCCCTCGGTCGGTCCTGGCACCCCGAGGAGTTTAACTGCCACTACTGCCACATGTCTCTGGCTGACGTCAGCTTCGTGGAGGAGCAGAACAACGTCTACTGTGAGAACTGCTACGAGGAGTTCTTCGCTCCGACCTGCGCCCGCTGCAACACCAAGATCATGGGGGTGAGATACCTGTCCACCAGAGTGTCTGTCCACCTGTCTGTCCACCTGTCCACCAGAGTGTCTGTCCACCTGTCTGTCCACCTGTCCACCAGAGTGTCTGTCTACCTGTCTGTCCACCAGAGTGTCTGTCCACCAGAGTGTCTGTCCACCTGTCTGTCCACCTGTCCACCAGAGTGTCTGTCTACCTGTGTGTCTACCAGAGTGTCTGTCTACCTGTCTGTCCACCAGAGTGTCTGTCCACTGTCTGTCCACCAGAGTGTCTGTCCACCTGTCTGTCCACCTGTCCACCAGAGTGTCTGTCCACCTGTCTGTCCACCAGAGTGTCTGTCCACCTGTCTGTCCACCTGTCCACCAGAGTGTCTGTCTACCTGTCTGTCCACCAGAGTGTCTGTCCACCAGAGTGTCTGTCCTGTCTGTCCACCAGAGTGTCTGTCCACCAGAGTGTCTGTCCACCAGAGTGTCTGTCCACCTGTCTGTCCACCTGTCCACCAGAGTGTCTGTCTACCTGTCTGTCCACCAGAGTGTCTGTCCACCAGAGTGTCTGTCCACCTGTCTGTCCACCTGTCCACCAGAGTGTCTGTCTACCTGTGTGTCTACCAGAGTGTCTGTCTACCTGTCTGTCCACCAGAGTGTCTGTCCACCAGAGTGTGTGTCTACCTGTCTGTCCACCAGAGTGTCTGTCTATCTGTCTGTCCACCAGAGTGTCTGTCTACCTGTCTACGTGTCCACCTTTGGAAAGTCACAGTAGCTGAATCTTTATTTCTCATACAGTTTAGGTCAATTTTAAGCATTTTTACTCTTTAAATGCTAAAAACCTCAAAAATGTTTTTGTTTGTCTCCATTTTTGTTGAAAATGAAGGTCCTTTTTTACCAGATGTGTTATTTTGTACATTTTATGGAGTTTTTATTATTTTTATTACCAAAACTCTCTAAGAAAAGGTAAGACATACCACCAAGGAAGTGGCGCTTGTTATTCACGCAAGGTATCATGGGACTTGGAAGAAGGTGAACAGAATAAGCGGATACTCAGTTCCTTTCTAAATGTAAGGTTATAGATTCCAATAGTAGTGTAACTATTATAATTACTTTAGTAAGTAATGAAACTTATGACATTTAATTACTTTTTAGTACTTTTCTACATTTCTAATGAATGTTTTGAACTGTTAATCAAAGACACCTTGAGAGGCAGTTTAACTGAGGACCAATCAGAAGAGTTAAAACAGCATCAAACTTTAGGAACGGCAAAGAAAGACACCGAAAGACAAATGAATATTATTCAACACACAGCCGAGCTTTTTACAGAAAATATTCAGACAAAAATGTTTTAGTCCATGACTTAAATGTAACGTCAACGTTTCGACGATCTTTCAGCAGACAGAGAGACTTTGACTAAAATTAGACAACAATTAAAACAGAGGTCCACTGATCAAACCTTGACTAAAACAAAGCAAAACTAAAAGATCAAAATGTGATTTTCAGTAAGTGACTAAGACTGAAACCTAATTTTAAATCCTTGTCATATTTACCACTGGCAACCCTCTGTGTGTTCCAGTAACTGAAACAGATCACAGCTACATTCATGGTACTAATAACATAATCAAGGATACTTACAGGAAACACTCAGGGAGGGGTCGGAAGAGAAGCGTAGGCAGGAAGATGTTTGGTCATATACGGTGACGTTGGAAACTAAAGGGACTTCTCCAGAGTGAAAAGCAGAAGTGAGAAAGAGCGTGAGAAAGAGAAACCTCCCTTCACCAGAGCTTCACCATCACAGCTCAGTGCTCTACGCCACCAGCTGTGTTCGCTCACATCTCAGCTGGCTCATTCATTATTTATTTGGGTTTTCTGCAGTCCACCATCACTGGGTTCCCCTCAGAGTCCAAGAACGCTCTGAACGTTCACAACAAACCGGCTGAACGTTTACGAGGCCTGAAGCCTCAGCTGTTGCAGGATGTTGCTCAGCTTCCCTTTACAGCGAAGGATGAGGCAGAAAATAAACCACAGATGATTAATAGGCTTCCTCTGAAAACACTTCGCTGAAGTCGAACATCTCTTGACATGTGTCTGCTAAATTATTACGTTCGTTCACACGAGATGCACACAAAAGAAGCAGGGAAGCGAGTCCTGCGTGCATGTGTGTTCAGATCTAACGGGAGATGGATCCAGTTCTTACGAGGTAGATTTAATGGTCATATTACAACAGGCTTGTAAAAGTAATTTTTTTTCTCCCGCTCCTTATTTTGCCTGCTTCATCCTCTCAGAGAGATTTCACAGGGAGGTCAGAGGTCACAGGCTAGGGTTGGGTGTCAAGAACCGGTTCAGAGTTGGAACTGTCTTTGGGGAAGAAGAAAAAATTAGACTTCTACTGTTACTTATCACGGGGGCAAAGTACCTGTACTTATGGTACCGATGGCCGGTACAGTCCCTCAAAATTGGAGTCCCGGTACCTGAAAACTGAACTTAAAGAGTTAATAAATTAGTAGATCAGAATCAGAATCTGATCCCCGAGGGGAATCAGATAAAATATAAAGGGGAATGGATATGTACAATATTTATACTATTAAAGACAGCTAGATGTACTTAAAGCAGCAAGGCTGTTTGTCATTTAACGTCACCTGTATTTATTATGAGGTTCCTGAACTCACTGCAGGAAGCTCGGTCACATGGCGGGTTCGCCAGTGAGTCCAGTGACCCTGACTATACTTTTGATCATTTTTTGGCAGCGACGACATAATTTGACATGAAGCCAGATGAAACTGGCTGTCGCACAGAAGACGAACTGTGTTTATTAGAGACAAAAAAACTTTTTTTGGATTCACCAAAAGGGTCCCTGATGGTCTAGTGGCTAGGATTTGGCGCTCTCACCGCCGTGGCCCGGGTTTGATTCCCGGTCAGGGAAACCTGAGCTGTTCTGACTGTAGACTCAGAGAGCTTTGGACGGGCTGATAATTGTTATATTTACAGTTGTGTAGTCCGTCCACATATGGTACCCTGATGCTCTTTGGGTTCCATTCACTGTGAGGGAATGTGGTTTTAGCACTGTGATGCTCTTGTGACTCTCCAAGAGTTTGACGCTACGATTCAGTACCTCACTCTAATCACCCCAGTCAACATGCAAAGCAGTAGGAAATGTGAAACAAGTCCATGTTTTTATGTGAATTAGACAGTTTGAATCACGTTCACCAATCGAGGTCCCAAACAGAGCCAGACATGAAGCCCATTCACTGCTTGGGAGGAGGTTAAGCTCAGTTTGGTTCCTCCAAGGACTTCAAGTAAGAAGTCAGTACTTGTGACATTAACCAGAATGAAGATTTCAGATTTGCGTAGTTGGCAGGATTCGAACCTGCGCGGGGAAACCCCAATGGATTTCGAGTCCATCGCCTTAACCGCTCGGCCACAACTACCACATGTGACCCCATGTGGTACCTGACTCAAATCTGCCCCCTGACGAGATGAAAAGGTGAGGATGGTGTATCTGGCACTTTAGCTGCTAAATGCTCCATTAGTTTTTCAGTGACACTAAACCAAAACAAGTGACCTGAAACTCAGATTCAGAGCCTCCGTGTAGTAGGATTTCTATTTCATGCCACTTTCTCCTTCTGCTCCATCTCAGAGGGAGATGTTGTCCTTTTTACTTCACTACATTTATCTGACAGCTTCAGTTACTTTACAAAGTCAGATTTTTTACACACGAAACACATGAAGAGTTTGACTTACAGAAAATTAATTGGAAACTATTTTGATCATTTCAGTAATTTTTCATGTGAAAACGCTTCATGGTTCACAAATATAAAGATTTGCTGCTTTTCATTTTAATTGTTTTAATAGCTGTGATGTTTGTTGAGCTTTGGACTGTTGGTTGGACAAAACAAAACATTATGAACGTGTCACTTTGGGCTCTGGGTAACTGTGACGGCATTTCTCGCTATTTTCATTCAGTGGATTGATGGAGGAAATAATCAGCAGGTTGATCCAGAATGAAAAGAATCATCAGCTGCAGTCTGATACTGAACAGCTCAACAACTACAGCAGTAACATCCTGCTTTACGTTAATGCATGAGGAATAACAATCTGAGGAGAGGAGATGAAAGAGTACAAGAGGCACATTATACTGCAATGAGTATCCAACAGGATATAAAGGAGAAAAACATCTACAGCAGTAAAATGCAGCAGACACATCAATGCAGCAGAAATATCTGATATAAAAAGAAACTCTGACAAGAACATTTTACTGCAACATGAGCACTTTTACTTGCATACTTTTACTTGAAGGAGGTTTTAAATGCAGGACTTGTAGTGGAGTATTTTCACAGTGCTGTATTGTTGTATATATATATGGTGTGTTGCAGGAAGTGATGCATGCGCTGCGGCAGACATGGCACACCACCTGCTTCGTGTGCGCCGCCTGCGGCAAACCCTTTGGAAACAGCCTCTTCCACATGGAGGACGGAGAGCCGTACTGCGAGAAAGGTATGATGGTGTTCACGCTGTCGCCGAGGTCGAAGGTGTGAGAAGGAGCTCAAAGACGTATTTCAGATTGTCTCTCTCTCTCTGTGTCAGATTACATTTCACTCTTCAGCACCAAGTGTCACGGCTGCGACTTCCCAGTGGAAGCTGGCGATAAGTTCATCGAGGCTCTGGGTCACACCTGGCACGACACCTGCTTCGTCTGTGCGGTAAGAAACCATGCAAACAGTGAAACAGTCACGTCATGGAGGCGTCTGTCCAGGCAGATTTGGTTTTGTTTGTCCAGGAGTTTTCTGCCTCCTCTTCAACACAGTGGAGGTGAATGGAGTCGAGTTTGTGGCTTTAGAAATTATATTTAAATATTTCAAGAGCAACATCTTGTTCCAGAAACAGCAGCCGTGTTTCCATCTGATTGTCTAGTGAATTGTTATCTAACTTAGGAAACATCGCAAAAAAAGAAAAGGTGATTTAGGTGCGTTACGCCAGCTGGTCTGGAGCGAATTAACCAGGATATGCAAGGAGCAAGTTGCGAGTTGACGTTACGCATGGCTGTAATAAACACGAAGTAGAGGTTGCAAACTGGAAACAAAACCAGTCGCGTGGACCTGAGATGGAGAGAGGTCTGCAGGAAAGTGTTTCAACTGGGCAAGGTGTCATTCTTCTTTCATGTCCGCTAGTATTGGCCGTGGCGCCTGGTCCAGTTGTTTGGCCCCGGTGGATCATGTTCCGCTGCTCTTTAATCCAAAAACCCGTCTTCATCTTCCAATGACTGGATTTACGTCAGAGGTAACGCATGTTTCGGCAATAAAGCTGGACAAAACAGATAAAAAACAAAAGTGTAGCGAAGTTTGAAGGAGCTGCTGCTTCTACAAACGATGCCATTTGCCAGAAAAAAACACCTCAAGCGAGATTTTTTGTTTCATATTTTGACGTTTCCATCAACTTTTTCTAATGCGAAACTTTAAAATGCTCATAAAAAACATTGATGGCAACAAGACTAGTGTGGAAAAACCACATACAGCACTGAAGACAGTTTGTATTCAGAATTACTTTTTACTACTGTTACTAGTGATACTGGAATTTCTATCTTCGATACAATACCTTGAAAATATTGATATCCTATACCATTTTTTATACCACAGGGAAATGAAGTAAAGTTAATAGTACTTTATGTTAAGCAGAACTGTATCAGTTGATTTACTTCTGACCTTAGTCACAGTATTTTCAGCTGAAACCCTGCTTTCTGAAACCTCTGAGGGGGATTAGCTTAGTTTTGAGAAGGACAAATGTCTGTTGGGCAAACAAAAGGACAACTGGCTTATCAACAACAGTTGACTGGGCCTTCTTGTTTAAAACTGTTGTTGAAAGGGAAGACGTCTCCTACCTCTTAAAGGTTCTTTAGGGATACAACAAAGTACCTTTACCTTTTAAATAAAAATAAAAAATAAACTATTTTCCTGGACAGATTCCTCTAAATGAAGGTAGTGGGTTCTTTTCTTATTTGGGTGAGCAAACTCTCCTCGCTGACTTCACCTCTAGCCATTATAACCACCGTATTTGTTGCAACCGCAGGTTTGCCATGTGAACCTAGAGGGCCAGCCTTTCTACTCAAAGAAAGACAAACCTCTGTGCAAGAAGCACGCTCACGCCATCAACGTGTAGACTCGCCATCTGGAGGAGGAGGGGGATGGGGGCGGGGCCAACCAGCTGCAGTTCTGCCGCTCCTGTCGTCACCGGGGGAAACACTGCCGGGCGATGACGCCGAACGCAAGCCGAAGACAACAACTTTTACAGACGTGTGTAAACGCTCTTTATGCAAAATACACTTTGGTTTGATTTTGTGCATTAATATTAAAGGTTAAAATGACGGTGCCTGATGATTCTGCTTCATAACAGGAACATGTGCAAAAACCAAGTCAAGATGTTTTCTGTTGTCCATCCAGCCCACTTTCATTTGTACTGTAGTGTTTAGTTTTTATTGTGTTTTACCAGAAACTACTTGTGTGTTTGATGTGAAACGGAGGACTTTGTACGGAGTCTGGAGTGTGCCAAGTGAAATAACTGTAGACTTTTTTTAGTGTTAAATTCTAACAAACTAATAAATTGATAAATGTGAGAAAAAAAATATGAAACTAAACCGATAATGCAATAAAATATGCATCTTTAATAATAATTTCAACGTAATTTGGTGCGTGAAATTAGGTTGAAATTTGTCAAATGAATAAAAAAATATATATATATATATATTTCCCCGTGACCCTGTATGCAGGATAAGCGGTTGATGGATGGGTGGATGGATGGATGGATAATTCTCTTTGAATGCTTAGCTTTAAATGAATTTAAAGTTTTTAATTTATTTTGCAATTTGTATTTTAATATTGAATTATTATTTACAAAGTAAGGAAATACATTTTTTGGATACTACATAGATTTATAATCTATCTTTATTTTCCTTTGAGTTTTAGAATGTATTAAATAAAATGTTTTAATCACTTTTCTACTTTTTTAAAAATGTTAATTTACAAAATTATTATAATTAAACACAGAAAATACTATATGTATTCCACTGGCACACTCGAGACGTGTGAACTGCACAGCTGTCTCCCGAATATTGTTCTCATCAGACTGTATCTTGGACTTGTCTCTGTAATGTGCCTATTTTGATTTGTTTAGGTATTTTCAATGCTACCTTAGTTATTTTTTCACTTTACTAAACTAAAAAAAATATGTTTTATTAATGTTGGTTAAGCACTACAATGTAACATATTTGACGTGTAGAATTCACAGACAATAGGTTTTTTTAAAGGTTAATTTCGTGCAGCAGATGGGACAGTAAAGCATCACTTTTACATTTAAAAAGACAAAAAAACGGTCTGGAGCCGGTCTGTGCTCTGTGTAACAGTGAACTGCCTTATCTGAACTATGTCTGACATGTGTTAGAAGTGTGTTTGGCAGTAAATGTAACATACGTGTGTTTGGAAACATGACCAGTGACTCTTTCCACTGGCCTCATTCCAGCAGGTGAACCATGTTTAGTCAAATATGAAAAACAAGTCAAGGTGCACAATGATACTGTGTAAGTACACGGTCACTAGAACATGATACGGCAGAATTCATTCACGCAGCATCATTAAATAGGTGGTTCTGTAAGCTTGGGGATACAGAGACTGGGGGAGGGGCCAAATGGGGGCCAAGGCCCCCGGAGTTCCCCTTACCAGAGTCAGAAGGTGAAAGGTAGTTGGCTAATTGGTAGTATCATGGATTGATTACACGGCTGCAGGCCCACACAAAATGATTACAAAGAGATGCAATACACAGTAATGCAAAATGACTACAAAGATTAAAAAAATAACTACAGTGATACAAAACGACTATAGAGAGATACAAATCCACTACATAGATACAAAGTGTCTACAGAGAGATACAAAACAACTAAAGAGATACAAAATGTCTAAAGAGAGATACAAAACAACTAAAGAGATACGAAACAACTACAGAGATACAAAGCGACTACCGAGAGACACAAAACGACTACCGAGAGATACAAAGCGACTACCGAGAGACACAAAACGACTACCGAGAGATACAAAACGACTACCGAGAGACACAAAACGACTACCGAGAGATACAAAACGACTACCAAGAGATTCAAAACAGCGACTACTGAGAGTTACAAAACAGCGACTACAGATATACAAATCAACTACTGACATACAACTGGCTACAGAGAGAAACAACTAAAGAGATACAAAATGTCTAAAGAGAGATACAAAACAACTAAAGAGATACGAAACAACTAAGAGATACAAATGTCTAAAGAGAGATACAAAACAACTAAAGAGATACGAAACAACTAAAGAGATACAAAATGTCTAAAGAGAGATACAAAACAACTAAAGAGATACGAAACAACTAAAGAGATACAAAATGTCTAAAGAGAGATACAAAACAACTAAAGAGATACGAAACAACTAAAGAGATACAAAATGTCTAAAGAGAGATACAAAACAACTAAAGAGATACGAAACACTAAAGAGATACAAAATGTCTACAGAGATATGCAAAACGACTACAGAGAGATACAAAACGACTACAGAGATACAAAATGTCTACAGAGATACAAAACAACCACAGATACACAAAATGTCTACAGAGAGATACAAAATGACTATAGAGAGATACAAAACGACTACAGGGATGTAAAACAACTACTGAGAGGTACTAAATGACTAAAGAGATACAAAAAAAACAACAGATACAAAGCGACTACCGAGAGACACAAAACGACTACCGAGAGATACAAAACGACTACCAAGAGATTCAAAACAGCGACTACAGATATACAAAACAACTACTGACATACAACTGGCTACAGAGAGATACAAAAAACTAAAGAGATACAAAATGACAACAGAGATACAACACGACTAAAGACATACAAAACAACTACAGAGAAATACAAAACGCCTACAGAGAGATACAAAATTACTACAGAGAGATACAAAACAACTAAAGAGATAAAACACGACTAAAGACATACAAAACAACTACAGAGAGATACAAAACGACTACAGAGAGACACAAAACGACTACTGAGAGATACAAAACGACTAACGAGAGATACAAAACAACTACTGACATACAAAATGGCTACAGAGAGATACGAAAAAACTAAAGAGATACAAAACAACTACAGAGAGATACAAAACAACTACAGAGATACAAGACAACAACAGAGAGATACAAAACCGAGAGACACAAAATGACTACTGAGAGACACAAAACGACTACTGAGAGATAAAAAACAGCAACTACTGAGAGATACAAAACGACTAACGAGAGATACAAAACAACTACTGACATACAAAATGGCTACAGAGAGATACGAAAAAACTAAAGAGATACAAAACAACTACAGAGAGATACGAAAAAACTAAAGAGATACAAAACAACTACAGAGAGATACAAAACAACTACAGAGAGACACAAAACGACTACTGAGAGATACAAAACGACTACTGAGAGACACAAAACGACTACTGAGAGATACAAAACGACTACTGAGAGACACAAAACGACTACTGAGAGATAAAAAACAACAACTACTGAGAGATACAAAACGACTACTGAGAGATAAAAAAACAACAACTACTGAGAGATACAAAACTGCGACTACAGAGATACAAAATGGCTACAGAGAGATACAAAAAAACTAAAGAGATACAAAACAACTACAGAGAGATACAAAACAATTACAGAGAGACACAAAATGACTACTGAGAGATACAAAACGACTACCGAGAGATACAAAAAACTAAAGAGATACAAAACCTCTACAGAGAGATACAAAATGACTACAGTTATACAAAACAACTACAGAGATACAAAATGTCTAAAGACAGATACAAAACAACTAAAGAGATACAAAACGTCTACAGAGATATACAAAATGACTACAGAGAGATACAAAACAACTAAAGAGATACAAAACGTCTACAGAGATACAAAATGTCTAAGACAGATACAAAACAACTAAAGAGATACAAAACGTCTACAGAGATATACAAAATGACTACAATTATATAAAACAACTAAAGAGATACAAAACGTCTACAGAGAGATACAAAATGACTACAGAGAGATACAAAACAACTAAAGAGATACAAAACGTCTACAGAGAGATACAAAATGTCTAAAGTCAGATACAAAACGTTTATAGAGAGATACAAAATGACTACAGAGAGATACAAAAAAACTACCACATTTTAGCATTTGTGTTTGATTCAAAAAGACGTGCTGTGTAAATCATGAGCAGTCTGGACGTATCTCCTGCTGTCACACAGTAATTCAGCGTATTTAGAGTTTTTTTCCAGGTGAACCTGCTCAGGTGAGGCTGCTGCAGAGTGCTGATGGTTTCTAAAGATGTAATATGGCGTGTAGCTACTAATCCTTTGATTTCACAGTACAGTAAGTGTTACTATGCAAAAGATAACCTTGAATTTAATATTTATTGACTATTTTGACTGTGTGATATTTATTTTAAAGCTAATATATCATCACTGCTGCGTTCAGTGCTCGTCAGATTATTACTTTAGTTTGTTTTGAGGATGTTTGGAATCACAAGATGTATTTTGAGTGTTGAAGTTGTAGGTTTTTTTGTAATTACTCTGTTAATGTTTGTTGCTGTCCTGAACTGTAAGGGCTTGACTGTTTATTACAGTGATATTTTTCACTACAAGGCCACTTCATAGCTCCGTTCACACTGCAGGCCTTTAGTTTGTTTTAATGACTATTGCAGAATACTACGAAGTCCCTGGAGCCCCAAAAGATGATGTTTTTTCTTTTCTTTTGTCTTGTACAAGCAAGATCAAATACAAATATCATCTTTTGGGACTTGGGGGCTCTATAAGGTACAACTTACATCCCTTAAAGATACAAGGCAACAGAAAAAATGTCCCTTTTTGGGGCCAATTAGTGCCACATAAATAAATGAGGCATCGTTTATCCGTTACTTTTATGAAAAATGTAATTATTTTAGGCTGAGACACAAAATGTACTTTTGTTTAAATGTAATTGATTTGTTGTCCACTTGTTTTCAACAGAAACAAGTAGTGAATACAACAATAATATATAATCATCTTTTAAGTTGAATTGAACGATAAACTTCATAGAAAAGTTCTGTGTTTGGTCTCCACCAGCTCCTGAGGGAAATATCTGGCTCTTTAGCTGCTAAATGCTCCACTATGTTCAATGGTAGCACAGGGAGAAGTCGGGTGGCGTGGCCTATTATAAATAGGCAGAAAGTCTGCATGATGGGTCATGTGAGACCAAGTAAATGTTGAGTTGTTTTGAGTTTTAACTTAAACAGCTTTACTGACTTCCGTCACGTCACTTACGTAATGTACTTATTTTTTTCCACACCACGACATTTTCCTAAACCTAACCAAGTAGTCTTGGTGCCTAAGCCTAACCAAACATTAACCACGTAGATTAAATGACTTACGTAATGTAGTTAAAGTTTCAGTGTGTAAGTTTTAGTGGCATCTAGTGGTGAGATTTGCAAATTGCAACCAACGACTCAGTCACAGTCATCTGTCATCAATAACACAGTGTAGCTACAGAGATTTATAAAGAAGACATCACGGCTGAACAACGTTAACCTCCAACCCTCCACTCAGACTTTACTGAGAAGAAGTGAATCCTCCTTCTGAGAGCTGAACTTTGTGTGGAAATAAATGATCGTATTTACAGAAAGAAATTTAAGTTACTTGTTTCTGATTCAATTCAATACAGGCAGGGTGTTTTAAGCAGCACCTAGTGGCCGTTAGAAGAACTGCAGCTCAACAAACTGCAACATAACGATCAATATCAGACCCTTTCTTTGTTCGCTGCAGGGACTTTGAACGATGCCCCGTTAAAGATTAAACAAATAAATGAAAACATCAGACTTGTAAACACATTCTGTGATCTGAAAGCTGATGTTTCACAGTGTGAGCAGAGCCTCAGATACCCTGAATAAATGCTTTGGTGTTTTTCAGATGAACTTAAACGACTTTGAGACAAGTGTCTGTGGGGAAACTGTTAACGTTTCAGGCGTCTCCCTGCAGCTTATCGTGCCTTCGTGCCACTCTGTGATCTGTCTGTCTGACTGGCACACACACACACTGGGGATGATGTGTGTGCTGGTGTACAGTTTTTACTTTGGATATTTTATACAGTTTGTGTGTTTTTTCAGAGAGTGAATGTGTGCATGCAGAAACACAGTTTGTCACGGCATGAAAAAGAGAACATTAATACGAGCGACTGAACTGGTTTTGGTGTCAATGAGCTGGAAGTGAAACATTACTGAAGTGCGGCAGCAAGGACGGAAAGAAGCTGAACCAGATTAAGACTCTCCTGGTCGTTAGAGGCTCAGCTTACTACAGTTGTTGAACAGGTTTTAAATATTTGAAGAATATTTGTGTTGCAAGTTGAATAAAGTGAGCATTTCAAACACGTTAAAACATTTGCTGTAAAAGGTTTCTTGTCTTTTAAAGATGCTGCTGTGTCCTGCTTTGGTTTCAAACTTGATCTATTAAACAGATATTTACCTAAAGGAATCTCTGATCTAAGAGATTTAGGGTCAGCATGTGACAAACAAATACGTATTTCGGGATGTTTATAATGTGATTTAAGCCAGAAATCTGAGCTAAAAGGAGGAGTTTGCAGGAAAACATGTCTTAATACTGAATTAAAAGGTCTACAACATAGTATTTGGGAGGGGAATCTTACATTTTGAGAATAAACTCGAAATATTTAGAGAAACAAGTCATTACAAGCAAAATGGTTATATTATTTCTTGAACAAAGTCAAACTTAACAGGCAAGTTTGTATAAGGCACAGACAGGTTTTACCTGCCATAAACTACTATTGAAAGTTGTAACTGTGCAGTATATTATCTATCTATCAGATAGATAGATGGATAGATGGATAGATGCACAGTCAGTCAGAAATGCACATGTAATCCAGTCTAGCCAAACTAATCACATCATACCAAACTTTATTTCTTAACTCTCAGATTGTTCCCCATCACATCAGCTCTAATACTAAAGGTTTATTATTTTACATTTTACATCTGTCACTCTTAGCTGTATATATAGCGAGTTTCCAAGGCTTCATTTCCTTCCACTGCTGCAGAATAACTTGAAGTTGCTGAAAATTGTAGATCTCTGAAATTTACATTGTTTCTCGGCTTTGCTGTCCTAAACTTTGTCTTTACTCTCTCTGGTTATTCTGCAGCAGTGAAACACATAACAGCCTGTTAGTGCACCCTCAGAAGCTTTATTTGTACTATATTATATATTTATTATATAATATTAATGAAGGCAAACAGAGCAGCTGGTCATGGGTTGATCCTACCGTGAAATAATGAACAAAACTCCTTCATTTAATTGTTCATTTTAGATCTGTTTTGGTGACGTAAACGTTGTTTTTAACTTTTGAACCATTTAAAGTTTCTCACTGGACTTGAACTACTTAAGATTTACACAAAAACTAAAATCATGTGGTGTTCTAAAACCTTCCTCTATCACTTCTTATTTTTCTGAAACTGTGACACACAGATCAGGACCTCAGAGAAATGAGTTTCATGTGAGTGTTGCAACATGCAGGCTTACTGTATGACTGTCACACCAAAAACCTTCATTCCTGTGTACTATTAAGGCTGATTATTATCATTGTTATTACTCTATTATGATGGTTATTATTGTTTTTAATGTTAGTTTGCATGATGTCCCGTTCATCGACAGCAGAGGGCTCCTGGATCTCTTTTAGATTTGATTTCAAAATAAAAGCCCGCAGGTCGCTCTGCAGAGCTGGACAGCAGACACTGGTTGGAGACACAGAGGAGGAGAAAAAATAAAGAGCTCTCACTCTGCCTCTGTGACAGGAGACTAAAAGCTAATTTAATTTAATAACTCTCAATGTAAATATTACAGTGAGTTACTTTCATGTACATGGTTCTGGCAGCACATCTATGTTGGAAGCTGTGAGATTAAAAAGATTTGGCCTCGTCTATATATTTAAAACTTAATTCATAAATAAACTCACTGCTTTTTCAGTGTGACCTTGTTGTTTTCGGCTACTGTTCAATACTGTTGCACAGAGGAATACGTATTAATACACTATTATTATTGAATTATCACCACGAAGAATACAAGAAATACTGAGTTTCATGACGTCTACGAGATGTGTACTGTAACGAGGTTATTCCAGAGCTTTCAACAACATCTCAGAGTCTTCATCTGCTGATCGAGTCAGCTGTAAAACCATAGATACAGGTGAAAACTCTGTTTTTAATATCACAACCCCCCTTGACAGCTTTGACCAGACACAATTTATAAAGCCTTAGTTTTTTTATTATTTAGATAATCAGTGAACTGTCAATTAACTGTATGTATTTTCTGTATAGTTAATTTTCCAGAATGAAGGTAGAAAATTTGGGTTCAAAACTTTCTCCACGCTGCCAGGAATAAAAGTCTGGCCGGGAAAATACTGAGTACTTTAGGTTGTTTATTTGTCATTAAACAACACAAGGTTGTCTAACAAACAGAAAGTTTTTAGTCCCTTCATGCTACACACACAGAACTTTAAACAATAGGCTATATACAGTTATTTAAATACATATTTAAGTACATACTACAGTGCATGTATTGAAATTGCATCTGGGTTGAATGTAAACAGCAGCAACAAGAAGATGATAAGGTTCACATTTAAAAAATTATTTTGGGGAGAATCAGAAAGAGCTTTATTGCCAAGTAGTATTTTACACCTAGAAGGAATTTGCATAGACATAAACACACAGTTGACAAAACTGTAAGATATATAAATAAGGAATAAACAGATGCATGTTATAAAAGAATAACTATGTGTAGGAAAAGAACACTGGAAAAGGTAGATGTTTACATGTGCATTGCTCTGGGTTTGTTTTCTGCAGATACAGTATATTAGAGCGGGAGAGGATTAGATTTTTGTTTTGGTGTATTATTAGTCAGATTTTAGTCTAAAAATACTGGAATCAGTCTATAAAATCCACATAATTAGCTAAAAAAAACCTAAACAAATCTCGAGGAAACACGACTACTGGACACACGTCCTCTGTGGTGGCTGCAGTCCTGCACCAGCGTACCTCACAGCTTCATTCCGCAGAACTTCCATTAGAAAATGTCCACTTTTAAACTCGACACCGACTTCAAGATACCTGAAAGGTGATAAAAACGTGCGCATACGTGTGAGTCAACGCCCACACTGTCCGACCGGAAATTCGGCCATTTGTTTTTGAACCACAGAGTGATCCATCGCGTCGGTCACAGGCGATCTCTGTCGGGCTGGTATTCGCTCTCCTCCACCGCAGCGCAGCCAAACCGCAGGGCGAGTGAGCGGAAAGCCGCCGGGAGTAACGTTGCTGCGCTGAGAGTGTTGCAAGGAAAACAGGGAAATTACGACCTTCTTCTGGTGGGAATTTTGGACTTTGGGACATCTAGGATGAAATAGCGTCGAGAGGAGTGTTGCACCCGCGGGATAACATAAAGACAGAAAGAATAAAGGTAAGGCAGAATCAAACGAAGATCCCAAAAACTTCATTCCCTGCCTGCAGCTCTGAGCCCGACTTTTGTGGGCTGCGTCTACCTGCTGGGTCAGAATGCTTCATGTTTACTATGTCGTGTTTAATTATAATAGCCGTTTTTTAAAAAACTGATCTGTTTGTATTTTTAAAGTAGATTTTCTGTGAGTAACTTAAACGATTAAGTTTATATTATAGTCTTAGAATTAAATTACCAAAAAACAAGCTGGAGTTTGGCGAACAGATTTTTTTTTTTGGTGTGTGTGTTAGCGCCAGGAGATAGACGGGTCCTTTCTGGGCTGCTGTCGTGGAAAAAGTTTGCTTCGCTTTTTCTGCTGCAGCACGAAGTTGTGTTTGCTTTTGCTATTTAAAAAAAAATAAAAAAAATCACAGTTTACTAGCAGATACTCCCTCGCAGGTCATATATAAATAAGTGAATTAACACCTCAGCTGCTTGTTTATGGCGGTAATCTGTGCCGCAGAGGAGAGTTTTGTGTTTTCGGTATTTACAGCTTGAGTTAGCCACATTCCTCGGTTAGCTTGACTCCGCCGCATAGTTCACACATCTCCCCTGTAATTATAGTAAAGCTTCAACATTAAACCAGCACGTCTTCAGCCGGAACAATTTAAATTTAATCTGTTTAATGTTAAATAGTCGCACCTTTTTTTTTCTTCTCTCCACTCAAGTTATTTACGAACGTTTTTAAGTCGTTAGTTACCAACTTTAAGCTAGCAGTCTCTCTGCTAACGTTAGCTTCACCTGTAAATAACGAAGCGTGTGAGAGTTTATTTTATATTTTAATAAAGCTGCTTTTAATCTGTCTGTTAGTTAAAGTGCTGTTTTATCACGTTAACTTTTGGCCGGTTACGTCGTTAAAACCCCCGGTGTGTGTTGTTGGTTGGTAAGTTAGCCTCGTCTGCTAACTTTTCCTTCTTGGGGCCAAACTTTAATGTTCAGATTTATTTATTTTTATCGCAGTTGAACAAACAAATAATCTAATAAGTGTTTGGTTTAGTAACCGCAGTGCGTGTCAGTCTCTCCCCGGGTACTTCTCCCTTGTTTATGCCGCCACGGCTTCGTGTTTTCCGGATCAAGACCTTTGCTCGTGTCCCCTCCTCACCGGCCTGAGCTCTCAGGTGAGTGAACAGGCAGGTAAAGAGTCCGGCCACCTTTAGTTCACCTGATGATGACATAATAACTTGATTAACGGATCAGTTACGGGCTTGATGTTTGTTGTGAAATCAAGTTTATTTTCATTTTATTTAGCTCGTTACAGTACTTTTAATTTTACTCGAGTATTTCATGCCACTTTCAGAGGGAGATTTGTACTTTTTACTTCCCTGTTAAATGTGACAGCTTCAGTTACTTCACAAAGTAAAACACACGAAGAGTTTATAAAATATGATATAGATATAGAATTAACTGGCAACATTTTTCATGTAAAAACATTTCATGGTTTCACAAATGTGACGATTTACTTCTTTTTCCTTTTTAATTCTTTAAATTTATTTATAATAACATTGAGGTTTGTACTGTTGGTTGAACAAAACATTATGAAGGTGTCACTTTGGGCTCTGGGTATCTGTGACGGCATTTCTTGCTATTTTTACAATTTAAAAAATGCGATAAATGGAGGAAATAATCAGCAGATTGATCCAGAATGAAAAGAATCATCAGCTGCAGTCTGATCAGCAACATCCAGCTTTACATTAACGAGGAAGAAGAGTACATTAATATATAATATATAACAGGCACAGGACATAGACTTTCCTAATTATACTGACATACTTCAGCAACATTTTCAGTGCAGGATTTTACTTGAGTGTTTTTAAAGTGTGGCATTAGTACTTTTACTGAAGTAAATCATCTGAAAACCCAGATATATAAATTCAGTTTACACTGACGCAGCAGATTAGAGCTGCAGCATTTTGAGAATCGATTAATCATTCAGAGTAATTTGATTCCAGCTTCTTAAATATTTTCTTTCTTTTAGTTTCCTCCTCTGTGACAGTAAACTGAATATGTTTTGGTTGTGGACAGAAGAAGTCATTTCAGGACGTCCTATTGGGCTTTGGGAAACACTGAGTGATATTTTTAACCATTTCACAGATCAAGCAGCTTATCGGTTAATTGTGAAAATGATCGACAGATTAATCGATAATAAAAATAATAGCTGCAGCTGTGGTACAGATGTGTTTTTCCAGTGTTAGTCTGGGCAGCCAGAAGCAATGCTGTTTATATTTAAAGAACTGCGTTATCTAAAACTAATCAATAAATTGACTGACCATTTCAGCCCCTACATACTGCGTCTGAACGGGCGTTACGTGACACAGCAGCTCAGGATCTCGGCTTTAAAGCTTTTTTTAAGTTGATTATTTATCACGTAAACAAGAAACAAACATCAGCTTGTGTCAGAAATGTGATGTGACTTGTTTTAAAGCCTGAAAGGGTTTTTGACCATGTTCGTTTAGGGATGATGTCATCCCAAACATACCGGTACTACAGAAACGAGCAGCAGCATCACGTGACGTCTTGTTTGGTTGTTGTGTGAACTCTGTCACAGACTGTACCTGTAATGTCAGCGGCGTGAGGATGTATCGGGTTAAACAGAAAAGCTCTTTCACTAGTTTTAAATGTTGTTTTCTCGTGATAAATAAGCGGCTGAACGAATGTGACCTCTGCGTTGTGTCGTCCAGCTCTCATGACTGAAGCCCCTTTATTTCTTTTTAATATAAACCAGGAGTCCGCTCATTAACTGATTCTGTTTGGGAACCAAACGGTCCCGATTAGCAGCTTCAGTTTCCAGGGAAAAACTGCTGAAAGCACCAAGTAATCAATAGGTGAACAGATTTATCAGCTATAAGTCTCATAACTCTCATTCTGTCTTCAGTTCAGCACAGTTTAACCCTTTGAACTCTGGTTATACAAAGAAAGTGACTACATTGGTATTTTTGCTTACTGGGATGTCATTTCTTAGAGTATCTTCAAATGCTTCATATCTATAAAATCTGTACAACCTAAGCTAAAAGCTTATGTAAGTCTATAAACTATTATTACTGATAAAAGTATTGAAATTGTGTTTAAAAAAAACCCAAACATATAACACTTAATAGATCCAAAAGATTTCTAAATGTAGAAAGATGAACAAATATTTATCAACGCTCCTCAAGTTATTAGAACGTTTTGTTTTGTTTAGATATGCTCATTTTTAGTGCAAAGATTTTGCTCCAGCGCTTTATGTCCACTCGTGCCAGTCATCCTGTCAGCTCCTTCTACGTTATGCCGAAGCTCAGTTATGTTACGATGACCCGAATGACATTACAGTTTTTATTTCAGATCAGATTTAAACAGGATCATGCAAACAACGGCGCCGCCCTCGGCCAGCTCGTTTCCGCTCGCTGGGAAGTCTGTTACTGAAATGAGGATGATCGTTTCATCATTTAAATGTCTGCGGTCTTCGGCTTCCATAACAACTCGTTCTTATATCAAGTGTGATTGCTGATACTTTTGCATTGTGTGAGCGCTCAAATCAAGCGCTCCCTGTTCACGGTGTCATGTTACTGCATTTTCCATCACGATGAACCCTTTTTGTTTGGCTGCACAGTCACTGTTGAGTCCAGCTTTATTATTATTATATATATAAAAAAAGCCAGAAGTTGAGTTCAGTTTCATAAATCAGGGTTTTTTTGTTCAAGTTTATTAACAATTAATTACAATTGCAATTATAATGTGAAACCCAGCTTTAGAAGTAAAGACCCAGGTATCTGCACACTCAGCATTAAACTACTCTTAAAGCTTTATAAAACATTGTTACCCATCAGTCATCACTGTGATGCGAGACAACACTCCTCTGAAAAAGGGGAAGTCATCAGCTTATTTTTTTACCCATGACAGTTCTTTATAAAGTGACAGCATTTCATGAAATAGGCGGTTTCCTTACTTCCTGATTTTGCTGCTGTCTCGGAGCAGGAGTGTGAAACTCTAGATTTGCCGTCCTCTGCTCTATTTAGAGATTAAAAGTCATATTTTGTATACAGGATGGTTGTGTGTGAAGGAGACCTCCTTTGCATGCAGCAACAGAACATTTTATTTGCATGAAACAGTAACAGAGTCCCACAGCCAGGTAGCAAGCAGCACAACAACAAACAATTTATCTACAGTCACAGGACCTGTCGGACGCCTCGGCTCTTTGAACGCACGCCTGCGTTTGCTAATTCAGTTCTGCAGGCGAGAATCTGGGGCTGCAACTACAGATGTGATCTAATCCCAGAGAAATCTGTATCTGTGTTCACAACAGCAGATAAATGACCGTTTAGAAAAGAACAGCAGAGACGGACCAATCAGTCGCGTTGTCGTTGAATGTCTTGTCCATCGGAGGGCGCTCTGCAGCTCCCGTGTCTTTTGTACTATCTATAACAGACTGGGAGTCGTTCCAAAGTCAGCAGCATCGTGTTTCTGCTTAGCGTGACTGATGAGAGTCAGTCAGGAAGCCAAACGCGAGCGTCTGCGTCATCGTTTTCACCTGCGATACCCCTGAGTTTAAAAACAAAACGGGGCTCAGCTGCGTTTTCCAGCTTCTCTGTTTCAGTCTGGATGGAGGCGTAAACGTAGCAGAAGGTGTGCGTTTTAAAACGAACACGTAGTCGTGTGGACGGAGCCTTAAAGGGCGCCATGAAGGGGAGGAAGGATCCCAGCGGGAAGAACCTGTTTGACCTGGCTGTTACACATGTCCAAACAGCAGCAAGGTCACATTCCAGCTAAAACAAAAATGCATTTTAAAAAGAGATGGCGACGCAAACGGGTCCAGAAGGACGTCTCCTTTCCTGCTGTTCAGTGGTAGAATTATACATTTGACCTCAAACTGTTTGTGTCTTTGAACCTTCAAGTTTACAAAGAGTCGCTCTGCACGCCTGCATTCATGCAGTCAGTCGACTTCCCTCCCCGTGAGGGGGAGATATCAGTAGGGGTAAGGTGGTGTTAGA